AGGTGCCTCCATCTCCGGAACGCCTCATGAATGGCTAGTAGTTCTCGGTCATACACCGTGTAGTTCCTCTCGGATTTGTTCAGCTTTCGCGAAAAAAGCACACGGTCTCCACTCTGACTCCTCCTTCCCTGGCTGGAGAAGCACCGCCCCAACCGCTCTGTCTGATGCGTCAGTTTCCACTCTCATCGGTTTTTGTAAATCCACATGCAGGAGCTGTTGTTCCGAGGCGAAGGCCCTTTTAGTTCCTCAAATGCTTGCTCCGCCTCCTCCGTCCAAACGAACTTCTTCTTACTGCTGAGACAGTCCGTAATGGGCGCCGTCAGGTGGGCAAAGTTTGGGATGAACTTACGATAGAAGTTCCCAAATCCTAAAAACCTCTGCACATCCTTCCTTGTTTTGGGTGTTTTCCATTCCAGTACCGCCTGGACCTTGCCGGGATCCATGGCCAACCCCTTGTCAGACAGGCGATACCCCAGGAATTCCACCTCCTTGGTATGAAACTGACACTTCTCCAGTTTCACCCACAGCTGGTTGGCTTGCAGCCTGCTCAACACTTCTCTGACGTCTCTCACATGCTGCTCCTCATTCTCAGAATACACCAACACGTCGTCTAAGAAGGCCACACAATTCTTGTAAAGCAACGGCCCCAGGACGTGGTTCATAAACGATTGAAATGTTGCGGAGCCTGCTTGTAGACCGAAGGGCATAACTAAGTATTCAAATGCCCCTAAAGGGGTGAACATGGTGGTTTTCCATTCATCCCCCTTCCTTATTCGTATCAGGTTGTACGCCCCCCTTAGATCCAGCTTGGTGAAAATCTTTCCCTTCCGCACCCTTGTCAAAATGTCGTCAATCCTGGGCATCGGGAAGGCCACTGGTTCTGACACTGCATTTAAGGCCCTGAAGTCACACACCAGTCTCGGCTTGTTCGTGTTTTTTTGTCCACAAAAACACTGGGCTGCCCCACCGCCCTGGACTCTCTGATGAACCCTCTCTTCAGGTTCTTGTCAATGAACTCTCTTAGCTCCTGCATCTCTCTGTCTGACATGGCGTACAGCTTGCCCACAGGGAGCTGTGCCCCAGGGAGCAAATTGATTTGACAGTCAAAGGCTCTATGCGGTGGTAGTTGGTCAGCTTCCCTTTCGCTGAAGACGTCGCGGAGATCTGCGTATTGTCGTGGTACCTTCACGTTCTCCGTTACTTCAGTCCCTGCTAGGGTGGCTTGGGCCCCTGCCAAAACCTTTCCCTCTTTGCAGTGTTCTAAGCAATGTGCTGACCCAAAAGAAACCACTCTTTGATGCCAGCCCACCAGCGGATCATGTAACGCTAGCCAGCTCATCCCCAATATAATGGGAGCTCCTCCCAAGGTGGCCACATTAAACGCAATGAGTTCGGTGTGCCTTGCCACCTTCATTATCATTGGGACGGTCTGCAAGCTGACTTCTCCTCCCAGCAGCTCCCTGCCATCGATCGTGGTTACCTGCAGGGGGTTGCTTAAAGGGAGCGTCTGTATCTGGTGTTCAGCTGCAAACTCTTTGCTCATGAAATTGCAGGAGCTGCCTGAGTCCAACAGCGCCTTTATCTTTAGAGGGTGTCCGTTTGGCAGCTCTAGTGTCACTTCTATCACTAGGGCGGGTTTAGGAGGTTCTGGCGTGGGCACTTTCACTGCTCTTTGGCCTGGCTGCTGTGCCCCGACAATGGCAGCCAGGCGTTGGCTTTTAGTTGCTCCGGTATCTTTTCCTCTCTTCCCTCCACAGCTCCCACCATCCCTTGCCATTCCTTCCTCTGGGGGCAGACTCTGGCAAAGTGCCCTGGCTGTTGGCAGAGATAGCATTTCCGGGCGCCTTTTCCCTCCTTTTTCCCCCTCACTGGGCTTTGAAACTGCGCGCGCGCGCTGTTCCGATTTCCATCGGCTCTGCCGGCGGGAAAGTTGGCTCTGGAATGTCTGGAATGCGGAACTCCTTCCAACGTTCCCCTTTCCCTCCCGCCTCTCCAATGCTCTCGCCTCCTGGCGCGCTCCTATGGCCAGCGCTGATTTGGTCAGCTGGTCCATAGACTCCGCCCTGGGCGCCCGGGAAAGTTCATCTTTCACAGCCGAAGAAAGCCCTTCTTCAAAGAGCATTTGAATGGGTTCCGCCGATAAGTCCCACCCCAATCTGTGTATCAGCATGGTGAACTCAGTCCAGTACTCACGTACAGATCGGCTCCCCTGTTTGCAAGCCATTAACTGTCTGCGCACCACTCCCTTTTCAATATCGCTGGAAAACATCAGATCCATGGCGCGAAAGAACTTCATCGTGTCCTTTAGGACGTCACTATGCGCTGCCATCAGGGGTCTAACCCAGTCTCTCGCCCCTTTTCAAGATGCCCAATCACAAAAGCCACTCGTGATTCCTCATCAGGGAAATCATCAAACTGCAGATTGAGGGCATATTGCATTTCTGTCCGAAAGCTATGATAGTCTTTGGGCTCCCCCCCAAATTTCTGCACCAATCCTGGTACCTTTCTGGCGAGCTGGGTGGCTTTCTCCCTTTGTCTGCATCTTGAGCCCTCCTCTCCTCCAGCCTCGCCGTCTGCAGCGCCAGCTGGACCTCCAACACCCGGTACCTTTCTTCCAGGCTTGGACCCGCTCCAGCCCCTGCTTCTCCGGTTCCTGCTGGGTTGCTCATTATGCCTTCTCCTGCACAAGCTGCGTTCCAAAGACTGTCGGAATGCTGTGATGGGAAGATGAGCTGCTTGTGCGTAAAATCGTATTCCCTCAGAGTTTGTTCAAGTCCACAAACCTCTGTCTGTGACTGAGCCCCTCTGACATGGCTCCTCTAGTCACTAGAAGATTCCGACAGTGGCTGCTTTCGTGTCGCTTCCAACATAAAAGCTCCTTAACGGAAACACGTCTTCTGGACTCTCTGCGTGACAGTTTCCGGCGAGGAGTGGGTGTCCCAACAGGAGGTCCGGAAACCTCACCACTGTTTTCGCTGGAAGTATCTCTGAGCCATCCCCCAGCTCCCTTTCCCTCAGTTCAGCTTCTCTCCCCTGCTGGTTTCCTCTTCAGCTGCTGAGTCTCTTCCAACCTGTCTGAGCCCTTTCACCTCCCTCAGTTCAGCTTCTCTCCCTTGCTGGTTCCCTCTTCCGCTGCTGAGTCTCTTCCAACCTGTCTGAGTCCTTTCACCTCCCTTCCTTCCGATGGCAGTTCCCTGACACACCGTTAATACAGTTGCGACTTGACTTCGAGGAGCAACTCATAGAACGCGGTGTGGTAGCCTTTTTTGAGGTTTTTAAAGACTTTGGTGATTTTTGAAGCTTTTCCAAAACTTTCCCGACACCGTGCTTCGCAAGACGAAAAAAACCGCAAGACGACAAAACTCGCGGAACGAATTAATTTAGTCTTGCGAGGCACCACTGTACTCGGGATGGGGAAGAAATACAATTCACTTCACATTTAAAGCTGAATCTATCAAATTGGCAGTTTCTGAAACAATATTAAAAGTGGGGAAACAGCCATCCTTCAAAATTTGCACTTCTCTGAATTTTCTGCTTCAGTTCTCCAACCAGTCAGCATTTATACAAATTCACGCTAGGGGAAATTGTGCTTAAAAATGAATATACAGTGGTACCTTGGTTTTCGAACGTAATCCGTTCCGGAAGACCGTTCGAGTTCCGAAACGGTCGAAAACTGAAAACTCAGTATGGAAGCCTAAAATGGAAAACTCAAAACAGAAGCCGCGTTTCCGGTTCAATTTCAAAAATCGAACTATTCATCAACGGAGGCATTCAAAAACCAAGGTACCACTATATCAGTGAAAATAGCATACAAAAATGTGTGACATTCAGAAAAAATGCTTGCAAACATGTGTGTGTTAGACAAAATTGCAGACAAAAAATTATTTATCAGGAGAACTTCGCCCTGAAATGCTGAAGAATTTTCATCGTGATTTTAAAAGAAAAGAAAGAAACCGTAAATTGCTGCAGAACGGTGGAGAACTGAATTTAAGATTCGGAAAATTAGAAACTGAGGGAACGGAAACTTACAGATCCTTCCATGCCAACTCAAGACTGGTCCCTTTAAAGAGAAGCGTTACTTCTCCTGAGATAGTCTAGTCTTGAGATTAGCCAAGACCATCGGAGTCCTGAGGATTCTGCAGGAACGTTCCCAGGAGGATGGCTAAGTAAAATACTGAAAGTGCCTGTAAATTTTGCCTTGTATCCCAGGTTACAGGTACAAATGCTAGAAACAGATTCCTAAACAAAAATTGAAAAGCTAATTATGGTTCACTGGGTGGGAGCCGACCCCTTACCCTCCCCACACATGGATGTCCGTGTCAGAGGGCACCGACTGCAACAGAGAAGGCACCATCTTGGTTATAATGCTGTGCAGAGATTTGCAAGGTAGCCTCACTTCTGGAAAGAGGCATAGAGAGCATGGCTGCGTACCCACCTTGATGCACATTTAAAGCACATTTCCTCCACAACAAAGGATCCTGGGAACTCTAGTTTGTTAAAGGTGTGGGGAATTGCAGCTCTGTGAGGGGTAAACTACAGCTCCTAGTATTATTTTGGTGATGCAATGCACTTTAAATGTGTGGTGTGGATGTGACCCAAGTTGCAGGGATGCGGGTGGTGATGTGGTCTAAACCACTGAGTCTCTTGGGCTTGCTGATCAGAAGGTTGGTGGTTCAAAACCCCGCAATGGGGTGAGCTCCCGTTGCTCTGTCCCAGCTCCTGCCAACCTCGCAGTTTGAAAGCACACCAGTGCAAGTAGATAAATAGGTACCGCTGTGACGGGAAGGTAAACGGCATTTCCGTGCGCTTTGGTTTCCGTCACAGTCCTCCGTTGCACCAGAAGTGGTTTAGTCACGCTGGCCACATGACCTGGAAAGCTGCCTGTGGACAAACGATGGCTCCCTCGGCCTGAAAGCTGCCTTTGACTGGACTTAACCGTCCAGGGGTCCTTTACCTTTTACCTTTACTTAGCAGGCAATCGAAACAAAATAAAAAAATTCCTTCCAGTAGCACCTTAGAGACCAACTAAGTTTGTTATTGGTATGAGTTTTCGTGTGCATGCACACTTCTTCACGAAAGCTCATACCAATAACAAACTTAGATGGTCTCTAAGGTGCTACTGGAAGGAATTTTTTTATTTTGTTTTGACTACAGCAGACCAACACAGCTACCTACCTGTAACTTAACGGGCAATGTTGATTATTCTGGGTTTTCTTCCCTGCTCTCTCCTTGATCTTAGTACAGTGGTACCTCGCAAGACAAATGCCTCGCAAGACGGAAAACTCGCAAAACGAAAGGGTTTTTTGTTTTTGAGCTGCTTCGCAAGACGATTTTCCCTATGGGCTTGCTTCGCAAGACGGAAACGTCTTGCAAGTTTGTTTCCTTTTCTTAAAACCGTTAATACAGTTGCGACTTGACTTCGAGGAGCAACTCATAGCATGCGTGTGGTAGCCTTTTTTGAGGATTTTGAAGACTTTGGTGATTTTTGAAGCTTTTCCAAAACTTTTCCGACACCGTGCTTCGCAAGACGAAAAAAACCGCAAGACGAAAAAACTCGCAGAACGAATTAATTTCGTCTTGCGAGGCACCACTGTAAGTTATAAATTATAATATATGTGTGTGTGTGCGCGAGTACACAATCCTAGGTATGAATACGCAGAAGGAAGTCCTACCAAGTGTAAGGAGACTTCCTTCTCCTAAGTAAGCATGCAAAGGATTGCAGCCTAAGTCAATCACCGAAATTGCTCGTCAGTTCAAACAGCTGACTCAGCAGGCAGGCAGAATTGGTACCATCCAGCAATCAATTTTTATCTATCTAGGGCATTTGATGCCATTTAAATAATCAGTGCAGCTGCTCCCGCACCACAATTCATTTTCGGCACAGTTATATTACTCTTTCCATTCTGCAACTACTCCAGGGCTTAATAGTTTTCTACAAAAGCTCAGATCCTTCCGTCATGTGATTCATTAAAAGGACTTTTTTATGACTAAAGGACAGATGAATGGACCCTTTGTGTCGGGCGATTTTAATAAGGCTGGAAATGACCTTGGATTTATCTTGCCCTAGTTGTTTTCACGATGTAACCGACCTAAAACAAATACATTCCATCTCAGATTCATGCAGCTCTCCCTTTGCTCCAGCTCAGGATCAGAGGCAAAGCACAACAGATCAGGCTGTGCACCTGTCCATTTAAAAAGTGAAATTAAGGAAAGATGACGTTCTTCTCCTTCCCTCGGAGCTGGACCTCAGTGTCCCGGCTGGACGATGGAGCTGGAGACGCTCCTTCAGGTATAAAGGGCCGAGGACGTTCAGGGCTTTCCCATACTGAGCTGTCCCATCTTATGCAGTAGCTGTACAATGTCTAGCTTTTATTGAGTGTTTATTCTGATTTGTTTTGGGGGCAGTTATAGGACAATGAGTATTCATCCTTTTTTTTTATTGCAAGGTGTTTACAGGGTATTCCCATTATTCATTAGTTCATCTCATGCATTTCAATGCATCAAATAACAAGACCACCTTTTTTAAAAAAATACAGTGGTACCTCGGGTTACATACGCTTCAGGTTACAGACTCCACTAACCCAGAAATATTACCTCAGGTTAAGAACTTTGCTTCAGGATGAGAACAGAAATCGTGCTCCGGCGGCGTGGCAGCAGCAGGAGGCCCCATGAGCTAAAGTGGTGCTTCAGGTTAAGAACAGCTTCAGGTTAAGAACGGACCTCCGGAACGAAGTAAGTACTTAACCTGAGGTTAACACACTGTAGGTGTGTTAGGGCACCAGAGTGGCTCAGTTTCCATTTAACTGCACCAACCTACAGTTCTGATATGCATAGGAATCCCTCCGGCAAAATATTGACATTCTGGAAGTTCCTAAAGCCATCACTGCTGCTAAACTGAATTTGGGACTTTTTCCTGTATCGTGTGGGCTTCTAAAACTGCATAACAATTCCCCGCTAAGAAGGCGAGAGAAGAAGGCCACAGAACAACATCCATCCTAATCTGCCACACGAAGATTTGCAATTATGCCCTCTAAGAACTGACGGAATGGAAGTAATGTTTTGTGATCTTGTTATTTCTGGAGCCGCGCCAATCTGACAACACCGCAAGATCAACAGTGTGATGTAACCTCAACTAAAAATAAAATAAAATTATTCCGCTTTTTCACCTAGGGGTACCCACCTTCGAAAACAATGATTTGATTTCAACTTTTCCAACACGCGTTTCGTTTTCTGCTGTGTGTTCTCATTCTCCCTTCTGGGATGGAGAATAGTAGTGCCTGCTTCGCTAGCTAACTTCTCTCAATGCCTGTCAGAATTGGCACCTGATCATAAGAATTAAATAGGTTAAGAAGGGGGAATTACGCACTGGCAATAGTGTGCAAATTGGATCAGAGCGCATGGAGAGTAAATCCTGCACAGGCTTGCTCACACCTGCCGCCCCCCTCCCACCTCACCCCCCCTCCTCTGGCACGCCAAGGCTTAGTAGCCATAGGAACAGGAGGAAGGGAGGTGTTTGATGGACGGCTTATCAGTCCCTACAATCCCGCAGCCACTCACTCCCTGGAGAACTCTTGCAGGACAGCAAAAATCCAACAGCTTGGATTGGAAGGCTCTGCCTGCACCCGTAGGGCTAAAATTCCCAGAGTTCCCTGGGAAGAGGGATTATCCAGCTAGAGGGTGGGGAAAGACTCTTACCTGGGACTCTAGAGAGCCCCTGCCACTCAGCGTAGACCAGGAGTGGGGAACTGTTGGCCCTCCAGCTGCTGAAGTACAACTCCCATCAGCCCAAGTCTGGGCAATGGCGAAGGGAGATAGGAGTTGTAGTTCAGCAACATCTGTGGAGTATGGTTACCAGATTTTTTTCAATGAATCCGGGGACACTTTTTTTTTTTTAAACTGAGTAGCAACAGGGAGTCAGTAGTGGGGATGGTGAAGCAAACGACCCTGGGCCCAAGCACACACGCCTATTGTATAAAGGTGCAAAGCCCTTCTTTCGCACCCTGTGAAACATAAATGTGCAGAGTGTTTAAAAAACTGGGCAGCGGCGCGCCACCCGTCCGTGACTCCTGAGCCTCCCCCAAACTCCTGCCCCCTTTTTGTTTTGACAGCTCGGGGGGGGCCCTCGGGAGTCACGGGCGGGTGGCCGTTGCTGAGGAGGGGTGCAAGGCACACGGTTTCTCTGCCAGGCAAGGTACAAAGCCCTTCTTTCGCACCCTGTGAAACATAAATGTGCAGAGTTTTTTTTTAAAAAAACTGGGCAACGGCTGGCTGCCCACGACTCCCGAGCCTCCCCCGATCGGTCAAAACAAAGGGGGCAGGGGGCAGGAGATCTGTACTGCCAGACGTCCCTGGTTTCCCTTCGGCAGTGGCGGCGGCAGCGGCACTCAGCCGCCTGGAGCCAGCTTGGTAGCGCAGTTGACTTTGGCTGGTTTCAGGAGCTGCTTGCTTCCATGGCGCCCACCATTTTTCCTCTCCGGAAGTCCCCATAAGATGTGTTGCATGTTTCCTGGGGACAGATTTGCAAATCTGAGGACTGTCCCCGGGAACCGAGGACATCTGGTAACCCTAATCTGGAGGGCCAATGGGTCCCCACACCTGGCACAGACATTAGTGATCTGGACAATCCAACAGTCTGGTTCAACATAAGGCAGCTTTTTGGGTATGCTTCTGTTCTGAGAAGCAAGGCTGAGAGACCCAGGCCCTGCCATGAAAGGGAAAGTGTCATGTCTGCTTTGCTCCACCCACTTTTGCTGCTGGCCCCGCCCACCGATGGCATACAGCCCCAGAAGGCCTAGAATCGTAGAGTCGGATGGGACCACGAGAGTCATCTAGTCCAGCCCCCTGCAATGCAGGAACATTGTGCAGAAAGCAGGGCTTGAACCCCTGACCCTGAGAGTCGGTGTCTCACGCTCTACCGAGGCATGAGAGAATGCAGCCTGAAGCCAAGAAAGGTTCCTCACCACCACCCCATGCTGGAAGCCAGAAAAAATTGGGGTGAAAGCATGAAAAGGCTGGTTGAGAAGCGCTGAAGGGAGAAGGCACTTCCACAGGTGCAACAGGGGGAAATTAAGGTTCCCAAGAGGTAGAGCATTAGACTCTCCATTTCAGGGTCATGGGTTCGAGTCCTGATCTCTGGGCAAAAAAGATTCCTGCATTGCAGGAGGTTGGACTAGATGACCCAAGTGGTCCCTTCAAACCGTACAGTGATATGATTCTATATAATCTAGAGCAGCGGGGAGAAGCCTCAAGCCTTCTCAGCTTCTCTATGGACTTTGGACTACAGTGGTACCTCAGGTTAAGTACTTAATTCGTTCCGGAGGTCCGTTCTTAACCTGAAACCGTTCTTAACCTGAGGTACCACTTTAGCTAATGGGGCCTCCTGCTGTCAACTTGCAATATCTGTTCTCATCCTGAAGCAAAGTTCTTAACCTGAAGCATTATTTCTGGGCTAGCGGAGTCTGCAACCTGAAGCATATGTAACCTGAAGCGTATGTAACCTGAGGTACCACTGTATTCTCAAGCCTCCACAACTCTCCTTGCCACCCTCCTCGACTGTTCTTGCCTGGCTGACATAGGAACATAGGAAGCTGCCTTAACAGCCAGACCATTAGTCCATCTAGCTCAGTGTTGCCTACACTGACCGGAAGCAGCTCTCCAGAGTTTTAGGCAGCAGTCTTTCCCAGCCCTACCTGCAGATGCTGGGGGTTGAACCTGAGACCTTCTGCGTGGAAAGCAGATGCCCTTACCCTGTGTCTTTGAACTCTGATAATACCTCTTGTTTGCAGAGATGGAAGATTGCGGGGGGGGGGGGGGAGATGCAGAAACTAACATGCTGTGCAAATGTCAAATTTGCACCCATTGCTATGCCCACTTGTGCCTCGGGCCCTGCCTGCCCTCTGGCAAGCGGCCCCCAGAAAGTTTCTCAGGAGGCAATGAGGCCCTCGAGGTGAGAGCAAATCCATGCTCTGTTGGAGACTCTGCCTCATTCGCTTAGGAGTAGCCATCGCTGGGGAAGTGAAACTGTGTCTGTGTATCTACTTTAGCCATGAGTTCACATGATGAGAATCCCACCCTCCAGCAAATCCTTTCACCTAGAAACCTAGCCTGCCAGGGTTGCAAGCGAACC